TAAAAGTTTTCTGTATACTGATCTTAAGATATTTATATTTTTTAAAACAATTTATTATATTATATTTTAAATCTATTTTAAGTATTAATATTTTATTTATAATATAAATTACATGTTTATTTATTATTTTTTTGTTTTTAAGAGCTCTAATTACTATATTACCTTCTTTAAATACTTGTTTCTTGAGTTTAATTACCATTTTTTGATTATTTATTTATATTTTTAGAAATTTAACTTATTTTATTCTACTTAACTTTTAATTACTTTTTTTTTTAGTACTTGGTTAAATATTTTTGCATAGCAATTGAAATTATTTATAATTATCATGATTAATTTGTTATTATTTATTTGAGAATTATTGATTTTATAAAATATTCTTACAATTTTTAGAATCTTTTTTATATTTTTTTTTTTGGATTTTGTTATTTATATCATATTGTTTATAGAGACTATGACTGCATATTTCAATTTTAATTTTCGAGTGATATATCTTTTTAGTTTATGCTTAATTATAAATATTATTATTTGCAAACTCATATTACAATTAACAATATATAACAATAAACAAATTATTATATGAATAATTTATATATAGTAATATTATAGATATTTATTTAATGATTTGTTACTCAAGTTATATTGTCATAAAACAGATTTTTTTTTTTTTTTTTAGCTTTTGTAAATAAGTAAAAGATCTATAATTATAAATTTTAATAATGCTTAGGCACATTAATTAAAAAGAATAGCCTGATGGGATAAAATAATATCTAGACCATATATACTAAAAATATCCTATGGGTTTACTATATCAAGTATAGTAAAAAGAATATTTGATGGAATGAGATAAGACAATATCTTGTATTAAGTATGAATATGAAAAGATACAAATATAGATAGATGGGATGCTGAAACTCCTATTTAATAAAATAAAATAAAAATATAACTATATGCTTGAAATCACTTATAGTCGTCATAATACATACATTCTGTACCGCGCATTATATCTTATCACATAGATGTAGGCAGCAAATCAACATTCGAGAATGTTGGTAAAAGGTTTACTTACATCGATAACCAACTTCGCGGGGCGACAAATCATAAATCCTTTTTTTGCGCCCCCGCGCTTTCGTCGAACCTATGTTTCCATTTTGCAAAGGCCAAAAAATCCCATAAGATTGGGGACTTTAAGTGATAATGCGAAGGCGACCAAAGAGGTGTTAAGTTGTTTTAGAAGTGAGAATTCGTTTGTATTCATAAAAACTTTGAACTGTTCTATTTACGGGGTCTTGCCATAGCGTAAACGTGTTGGTCGTGGACCAGCGTCAGGTAGAGGCAAAACTTGTGGTAGAGGTCAGAAAGGTCAGAAAGCTAGAAGTGTTGTGAGACGCGGTTTCGTGGGTGGCCAAACACCTCTTACACGGGCTTTCCCGAAACGAGGGTTTAACAATCCGTATGTTCTATCCATATAGATTCTATGGATGCTTTTTTCGTGCATTATGTTTAAGATATTTTAATTGCAGTAATTCAAAAGTCTGGGCGCCTTTAAATCTCGACCGACTCCAGCATTGGATCAATACTGGCAGAATTGACCCTACAAAGCCGATTACTATGAAAGAGCTTTTGGATTCGAGATGTGTACATGGCGTTAAGGATGGCGTCAAGTTGTTGTCGGAGGTGTGCCACTTTACTTACGCGTAAATAAGCCTTGTCTTGATTCCTTTGCTAAATCATTCGTAAATTTAGGGATCACAACACTTTAGTACCCCCGTTACCATTGAAATAGCTCGTGCCTCTCGTTCGGCAATCAAAGCGATAGAGAAAGTTGGTGGGAATATCACCTGCAGATATTTCAATAGGCTTTCATTAAGGGCTACATTGAAGCCCGAGAAATTTTGGAAGATACCTAAATTTGCTGACCCCGTAAAGGCCAAGGACAAAGGTGAGCCGCCAAATTCAATTCTTTTATTGTGGAATGTCTACGGAGTTAACTCTTCGATCTATAGAATGGTACTCGGACATCAAAAATAGAGGCTATTTGGCGAAAAGACTTCTCGAAGATGCAAAATTCGTAAACTCGGAAATTTAATGAATTTACAATTGTCATCCCAACAATTACTCATCATAAATCATTAGATATGTAATATTTCATTAAATATTGCGATTGTTGATGGAAGTATTTATTTATGGATAAAAACGAAAAATAATGGTATCTCGAAGGAGAGGACAGGGGGGGGGGGGGACAATAGTTGGAAAGACTATGAATTAAAAGAGCGTATAAAATAATTTCGTGTTTTTGTTCTAAAACCCTAAGTCTAATATTATTAAAAATTAGAAAAAAGCAATAAGTTTTTTTTTTTTTTTTTTTTTTTTTTT